TATATATGTGTTATAAATAAATTAAAGTATAAACAAGAACAAACACTTTTCTCATCAGAAAGACAATGTCAGTTTTAGATATACGCCATTAGATGAATAGGCTTGATAATAGCTGAAATGTTCTCGATGATTATGTTTACAGGACGTATACTATACCTACCGACCCAGGATGCCCCAATGTGTGACTCAGCTTAATAAAGTGAAATAATGCAGCGCAGATGAGGCGTTTGTTTTTTTTTTAAGTACAAAATTAAATGTGATTGAAACACTCGTCTCTTCACCATAGGCGTAATAATTGGTTAAATTTAATAAAATACAATTGCAGAGGTAACGGTAACAGCGATGAAACTATTATTGACGGGTCTGGAGCGGTAATGATTGCATTGCTTCATTTGAGTTCTTACGAAATACAATTCTGTTTCTGTCACGACCTAGGCGCTCTGTCAAACAATACAGTCGAGACTCTATAGCAGTTGTCGCAGCGTCGGTTATATTTAGTCAGTTGTAGTATACGAAAGTAAGAATAAACTATCTACATCTAGTTGAACTGATCTTTTGGGGCCAGAAATAAGAATCTGCATCCGAGTTTCTGGTAGCTGGGTGATAATTTCGAAAGAGACCCCAGCATTGTCTATGTTGACGTAGCGAAGATACGATTCGAAGAGCTTATTCCCCTGTTCTACTAAGTAAGAGATACCTTTTCGAAATTTCAGCAGTCTGTGTCTTTTACCTTTTTCTTTGGTGCACCTTTGGTGGAATTTCTTGGTGCACCTTCACGGCCCTAGCCAGAAAATCTGATTTGACTATGTTAGTCTTCTTGAAAATAGAAGTCTTGTTATATATTCGTTTGATGAAACGATCATCGACACGCTCCGTGTGTTGTTGAACCTTGTCATCTCGTTTCGGGGCTCACGCGAACGTTATTATCATTCTCGATTAGGGTCTTGGACTGTTCAGTGCAACACAGCTGGCAATCGACTTCTGTTACTTCCTCCGTTTTAGGATGTCGCCTTAGGTATTTCGCCTAAAGGTGCTTTCTTTTATCGTTTGTTATAAAATGCGCACCGATCAATTGCCTAGAGCCGAATTAATGACAGAGGTCCCAACTCCCTGAGAAACTACATTTAACTATGTAATGTGCTTTTCATTTTTGAGTCAAATTGCCCTACTAAATTGCCCTACTACTGTGGATCCCGTGTACTCGGAAACCTAGACCGCAATCTACCTTCCTAGCTTTTGACGTTTATCGCGGTACAATCGAGCCAGGGCGTGCAGTCATCTCAACTGAACAGAGCAATGGTACCTATACATGAGGTTCAGGTTGGTAAATCAATATCTGATACGTAATCTTCAATACATGCTTAAGATCTAGTCATGTTAACGCGAGTGGTGACGTAGTGTACCCTAGACACGCGCGTCGAAATGCATTTACTAATTAGAAGCATAGAAAGTGTACATAAAAGTTGGCACAGCTATTGTTGACAGGATTTTGTCCGTTCGAAATACGTATAAGGCTCCATTATCTACGTCCTAAGTAGTCTAAGGATACGTGAGAGCTTTGGAAACCGCGGTTAGGTGAAGGTAAAAATAAAAAGTACACAGGTCTACTAATGACGGAGTATATTACACTACGCCTGCGACTTGATTTTGTTTTGTTTCACACCCTTTGTGTAATGCGCTGCTTACAAAAGCAAACATAATAGTTCATCGTCCACTTTACATACAAAGCCGGGTTATGTAGTGCTCGAATTCTGTTGCCGATTGAAGCTGGAGTTACAGGATGACGGACTAGTTTTGTTGATTAGAAACGGCGGGATAGTATGTCTCACTGATAATTGGTCCCATAGTATTTACACGAACAGGTGCCGTTCTCTACATAAAAACCTCATGCTCCGCAAATTAAACTATAAAACCCATGTGCAGCGTTATCTTCTTAGTACCTATCGATTTGTTTGGCTTGCCCATTTCCATACATTATCGGTCGTTGCTAGGGTTCCGTTTGTTTTTATGCTTTCACACGGCCCAGTTTTAAACAGCTCGGACATTTTATCCCTAGCGTCCCTAGAAGAAGCGTTCCCTAGAGGAGTGCCGCGTTACTCAGAATATATGTATATATATAATGCTAATTGATTGACGTAATGCTAGCATTAGCAGATTAACGTGCCCAGTAATGACAAATTATAGCACCCTGAACGTGTTAGATAGAATATACAGGAAGCCATCTTCTGTGACTCAGTTTAACAAACCTAACTACGAAAATTAGAGAAAACAGTAATGGTGATCTGTTAAGTATTTATTAGTTTTTCTTTTTTTTCTAATTTAACAACAGAAAATGCGTTTGAATAAATGTTTTTTTATGTTATTATTGCACTATTATCGAGAAACCAATAAATATAATTGATGCCTCCATACTATTTAAAAAATGATATAGGCTAACGGATCTACTAACAATGAGAAAATATTGTTCGAAATGTATAGTGCAGCGCCACATACATATATACAGAACTTTTTTAGAAACATTATACAATTTTATTATATTGTGTATAGTATAAACATTTGCATTGCTTGAAATGACAGAAATACAGCGGTGTCTGTAAACGAAAACGTCAATTTCTTTTTCTATTCTAACGGTCTTTAGACCGTCGTTCAAGACTGCATAATCGATTCCTACATTCATTACCTCCATTGAAACTATAATATATTTATTTCTCCATATTTAGATTCTACCATGAATTTTTACTCATCACACCATCGTACACTCTCCGATCATATGGTGTGACTCACTTGGGTAACACATAATGTAAGTAACTGGCCTATAATGCACCATTTACCCAAACGTTACAGATGGTCCAGCAGCTTCTGTGCTGTTCACATTATAAACCCAAATTCTCCCAAATCCATTGAATAGGGTAAAATAGACATTCACTTGCATATCACAATCAATACTTAATTTAACGATGCCAATAATTCTTAGTCGATCTTTTTGTGTTTTTTACGAAAAAGTTCTCGCTTCTAAACCCTAAAAATTCAACAAAACAAACAGGTTGTAACTAACAATAACAGCAGACTAATAATGCTCAGTAACTCTATATATATATATATATATATATATATATATATATATATATATTAGATTCCGCACAAAAACAGAAATAACCCTTGTCCACTGTGTTCGCAATACGACGAGATTAGCTGGTGATATTTAAAAAGTGGTTAGAAGATTGCTGTCACATAGACAGTCTCATTATGCATCAATCGCTCTTCGGTACTGTATGAAAATCTTCATTTATTATTGGAAACATTAATAATTAAGTCTAAAGTAACTATTGTCTACCAGCAGATGTCGAGTGTCGTTCGACCTCAAGATAATTCTAGTTTTGTTCAATATATAAATCACAGTACTATGAAACAGTCATGCGCTGGGACGTCCAGTAAAGGAACTTTTCCGTTGTACAAGCGACCTACTTGCAATATGCAGGTGTATTCTAACGATTGTTATATAAGTTTTCGACGACGCCCAAGTGCACGCATCGAAGCTTAATAATTACGTAATTTTGAGTACCGTGCTTTTGCGATACCTGTCAGTGCTATCGATCACTCTTCACCTTTTGCACAAGCTTCTTTCCTATGTAGGCGATGGCTCTTCCTGCTGCATACCCCCTAACGTGTATCGTATGCAGGCTAGTCATTTATGTGTTTCAACGATATTTCGGTCAAAGGCATCGCCCCATTTTAAGAATTTTTATTCTACCTGTGGATAATCGTTCTTCTGGAAGAACTAAAACAACATATAAACAGTTTCTATACGCGAATTGTATCTAGTGTCAGCTAAGGTTTATTCGATGTAATTAATTTCTTACACACACACACAGAAGTCTCTTGGCAGCTAGAGGGTTTTCATTTTGTATCTGTTGAGGTAGCAAGACATACGCAAATTACTTCAGTAGAAGGATAACTTAACTCTACAGTACATACGCTACTATGTAATAAGCATTTGACAAGTAACATTAACGGTAATAGAGCAATTTCAATCAATACAGTATTCATTGTAACGCTATAGAATAATAACACTAAATAATAGGAATATAGAAATGTTACAACTCAACTACGCTATTCATCTACGTGTTTCCTGCGAGTTAGATGCGGAACAGGGTGATCCTCGTCATCCTGTACGTGCAGGTATGAACACGCTTTGTACGTGTATAGCAGGATTAATGTGCATACGTCTAAATTGTCAAGACACGAATGCGGACAGGGGAGAAGTGCTGGCTTAACAGTATGGTTCCTCGAAACCTTCGCAAGAGGAAGGAGAAGTAGACGCATCCTTTCGGTATCCCCGCAATGAAAGCAGAGCTCGGATTCGCGCAGTTTTTTGTTGGTAAATAAATTGTACGGCAAATGCATGGATGCTTTTTTGTTCTTTTTCACCAAATCGAGTTTTTTTGACCTGCGTCAACCGGCGTACTTTGCGTCTTTTGTCAAAAGGAGATCTGTGTTGTATCTATAGTAGATAAGAAGGACTCAACTATGCTTCCTTATGGTAGAGACTATCCAAGGTTTAAATTTAGTGATGCGTGTGCATACGCCAGGTAAATTCGGTTCAGCGCACCCAATACCCCATGAGATAATCCCCGCTAACATCCATCGCCCACTGGTATCTCGAACCTAAACGAACGGAAAAAGAACAAGCCCACTATTATTCTCAATGCGCAGATATATAGGCACACTATTCGTGACCTAATGAATTTAGAGAAGAGTAAAGACAAAGAAAGAACTAGAGCGTTGGGCTTCCAATTAGATTACCTGTGGAAAAATCAGATGACATTTACTATAATCTAGTAGTATTCGACACTTGTCTATTCAGAACCATCCTATTTATTTCATTTAGTTCAAACTTTAGCATTTAGGTTGGCGCTTTTTTGTCGTTACTCATTGAGTACCTCTAATCGAGTGATAAGTCTATGCTGTACGTCGCACGTATCGTGTAGACTATCGTGATCGTATCTCAAATATGGGTTGTCGATCAATTGCTTTTGATATTTGAGATAATAGTCAGAAACGGATGAATAAGCAAGGTTAAATACTGATACAGTACTGAATTAGACGAAGAAATGCCGAAAATTATTGGAATGGCGCTAGCTCACGTGCAACGCCCATGGCGCGCACTTTGAATGAAAAGTAGTTGACTGGAAAAACCTAAGCGTGTTCCGGTAACCGTGCAAGCAGTATAACTTCCATAAAAAACCCAATCATGCGAGAACGACCGAGTAAGCATTCGCTAAATAAGCCATCGTATGATATTAACCGAAATCTCTCATCTCGCTTCTGACAGAGCGCACAAGCTCAGAAAATTATGTAAATTTGTGAAGGCTTTATGATACCTTATCGACAACTATTGCTGACTTATAGCTTATTTTTCTACAAATAAAGGCGCGGTAACATGAATTTCCTAAATACTACCTAGTCATGCTTGTTTGTTTGTTGAAATAAAATGACAAAGTCTATAAAAATGTTGTTTTAAATCATCTGAGACAATCCATCATTCCCGAATTTATTACCTGGAGTGGTCCACCGGAGTCACCCTGACATGAATCCTTCCCTCCATTTTCATACCCTGCGCACATAAATATTGAAGGAATAAATTCGTTGCGGCCCGCTGCTTGAAACATTGTCTTACACTTTTCGTTTGAAACAATCGGCACCTGCAACAAGGATGAATCGCATTATTCTAGACAATGTACACATTTACATATGTGAAAAATTATTAGGATTTGTGTGACGTGTCGTTAGTACGTTAATAAATAAATAAGTAAATAACACAAGTTGAAATGAATTTTTCACACAAGATACGTTCATGATGCACATTGAAATGTACAAATACAGTTTCTTGCGTACTGTCACCATCTTTGAACTATCGTCGGCTGTGTTATACATTGCTATAACCGGTATAAAGCGCTGTACCATTGCGGAATCATTGCGTTCTATTGACGAACCTGAACCTCTTGTAGCAGCGAAGGTAGAACACCTCCTTCGTTAAGTCTGCCCCATCCAGTCACCGTAGCGTTTTGGCCTACCAGGTTTCCGGTGGTATCAGGAGGGAGGCATATGGCGGCCACGTGCGGCATATACTGAAGTGACTTATCCATTTTAAGAAGCGCAAGATCGTTTTCATACGTGAAAAAATTATACTGTGGGTGAACGTATTTAGCAGTGATCCCCCGTTCCTGGAATGGATACGGTTCTTGTGTTGACGAGAAATCGAACTCGCCGAGCCGTACGCGTACCTGTGTAACAAGAAGACTGAAACCCAGAGTATCAACAAACCCGTTTACAAACAGGGTTGTTTGCATAAAAAAAAAGGGTATCTTGAATGTTCGGGCGTGAAGAGAACCTATTCTACTCAGACAATCAATTGTCTGAAGTCGACAGGCTGCTTTCCTACCTTAAAGAATATACGACAATTCTGTACCCACAAGGAGACAACAAGCCCTAAACGAATGTCCTCAAGCAGTTTCTCGATTACTGGTAAACACGTTCAACTGATTTAAATGACGCGCACAATTTTGTTCCTTGTCACCCTTAATTGTAAAAACTCTTTGTATTTTAAATCATAAGTTACTTGGTGGTATCTTCTTAGAGCAGAGAAAAGTATTTCATATATGCAGTAACTGCAAACTTGTAGTTGTTTTTGTTTGACTTCGCTTTTTTGTAAAAGGCAACGGCCGTAAACTTAGGCTAAATTTCCTTAGTAATTATTAAAGTACGTAAAATAGCCGGCAAGTTTTAATTGTAGATATCAAACAATCATTTGTAACAATAACAATAGTTTTATAACTATATACAACATATAGATGGGCCTATGCAAAACTGTAACACTCACTCATCAACACAATGTGCTGCCGTAATTATCCAGTTCTTGTTTAAGATTGCGCCTCCACAACGATGAGTGGAAGAGAAACCGAAGAAGGAGCTTCTTCTCACCGAGGCCTGCCATGGCCATTGACCAAAGGATGATGTTTTACCTCCAACCACCTAACAACAGGTTTTAAGGTAATCGAAAACACTACCTTCATAATTTTATTTGTTTAATTGCTGTTTTCAAATGTTATTAATTGGCGATTTTGAAAAGGCGATCACTTAAACAAAAATCTACAAAAAGCAAACCCTAAGGTTTCTTTATCTCAATTCTATGCTAAATAACTTTAAAACGAAGAAGTCGTCATTACGATCGACGCCAAAGCTCACGCCGAAAAAACATCTCTAAAAAAGTGTCACTTAGTAACCTTTTTCTGTGGCCTTAATGGTGGGACTCCGCAAGATTCGGTTCCACCGGTCTCAATGAAATTGTTTTCAAATTCTGCCGCCGCCGCCGCTGCTGCCAAAGTACCTCCGTTGCTGGTCGATGGCTGTGGTTTCAAAGTTGGTATCTGAAGTTTTGTAGTTGCCTGCGTTGACGTCGTTGTGGTAGTCGTCGAAGACCTCTGAATAGTGGATACACTGGCTGGTGAAGTTACTGATGGTTGCATTAGGGGCGAAGTTAATGGAGAACTCACCTGCAGCACAACAAATTGAAATTTCAGTAAGTTCTACAAAGCAAGTCAATAGATTTGCACACGGTTGGAAGTTGAGCTAAGATATACAGTCAATACTAGTGTTTTTGCAGAAGGAACATTTGTAAATCATTTGGTAAATCTGCTGAGCCTAAGAAGCTACATAACAAAGGTCAGCTAAAACATATAAGGGAATAAATCCTGTACAAATACGACTTGAATAAACTATGGTTCGAACCATCAGCTATAAATAACGTTAGCTTCCTCAAATTGCGTGCTATGTCGAGCATGTAACTGTCCATATTTTTTTTCTTCTTTTTCTCATACCCACGGCCCAGGCTAGCTAATAAGACTTTAGAAATCTAACATCAGTCTTCGAGGTGATTTAACATTTCTTAATGTCAAATCACCTCTACCTTGTCATTATTACAAGTATTAAAAGTAATTTCAGAATATGACTGCCTATTTAGAACATTAGTATTAGAGAAAAATTAGCATTGTTTTAGACTTATTGTAAGGTTTACCAAATACAGTGCGGTGCAAGTTACTGACTGCCAATCGGACAATATGTAACAATTATGGGCTCCCATAGTGTACCCACTCCGCTGTTCAAGCAGGACACGCAATTTCTAATATGGCATCAAACTAACAATGCTGTTTACCTTGATATTGTTTGTCTCGGACCTTTTGTCCTTTTACCACGGCTCTCTTACCACACAGTCGTAGCCCGACTTTAAATTAAACTATGTTTTCTCTATTCATATTGATAATGAGAAAGCTTAAGATGCTTCTTGGATTGGGGGACTGTGTAGAAGCGCAAGACTTTAAAACTTAAAAACGAAGTTCGGACTGCTAGAAACGCTTTCAAACAGTTTCAAGGTAATTTTATGAATGACTCAAGCGAAGATATCAACAACTTTAACATCGATTGGACAATTCTTCAGCTAGTCCAACAAGTATTTTGAAGTGTGAAAGAATATTTTGCTATGCGTTAAATCAATAAAAGCTAAGTAATGTAGGTATAAAAGGATCACACTTGGGAGATGGTGAAATCGTGCTCGTGTTATAGAAAAATGGCATGTGCTTTCTATACCGTGGATTTGAATCATTCTTCGAAATTCCGAGAACCGCTACCTACACGAGTCTGGAATTAAATAACTTGTGTATAAAGTCGAGTTACAAGAAGACGCCATCTTATACCTAGCCTGAGTTAGGTAAACGGTAAAATATTACTAAACGCTATACGACAAATTTGACTAAAAATATTTTTAAAAAATTCACATTTTTTTCAATTTTAGTACTGTTGCCAATTTTTTTCCGAAGTTCATCTTGTCTCAGGTTTGCTTTTTATACATACATTTAGATATTATTTCTTCATTATTATGTCCTCAATATACTAAGATATCGTAAGTCTCTCTAAATAGGAATACAGAAAAAAGTACAGAAAATTGATGAAAAATCACTAATAAAAATACCTGAGATTTGCAGGCTATCATTGAGATTAGACTTGAAGTCAGTCTGTGATTTCTTTAATGAACTCTATCTTCACTCTATATGAACCTCAGTTAAGGCCTCGTATTAATTTGAAAGCCTTTGTCTGAGACCTGCACTCACTCCGATCTAATTCCGGTTCCGATATTATCGGGTGGTAATGGAACAGTTGAGTTGAACTCGATCTACCAACAGGGAACCTAGACAATTTCAGATCGACCTTTAGCCATGTTTAGTTTGTCCAACACAGGCTAACAAAATTAAGAAAAATACACCCTTAAGTTTTTCAACTTTGAAGTTTCCGCTTGAAAATAACCGTTCAAACGTTGAGCGCATGTAAATTATACCACACAATGAACACCTTCCGATATTTAATTAATACGATTTTTAAGTGAAAATCGGAGAGGTAGCCACAGTAATCCCCTTTATACATACAATAACGTGTCTCAAGAAGAGCGCAGGATCTGGGTTTCGTTATAAAATGAATCATTTTTTATTTAAAAGTGCTGATCTTTTTTTGCAGTGTAAACAAGGTCCTCGTTGAGCTTTTATTATTCAGATATTGCGCTGCAATAATATCGCTTCTCATGGGTCGCTAAACAATCAAGGTATCTCGATGTAGCAGATTACATACGAAAGAACACCGTTTGCAGTTTTCAAATAGTATATATATATATATATAGTTATTAGTTTATATGGCTGAATTTTTAGTTAGCTAAAATAAGCAGGGTGTTAGCTGCGACAGAACACAGGACTCATTACATGTTGGCTGTTTTCTTTCGTAATAAACATATTCGAAGCGATATATCATTTTTAAATGTATATTGAAGTTCATACAAATCAGCACTTTTTAATTTATTTTAAATTTAAGGACCAATTTTTCCCTATCATAGATGTAGTGAGTTGCACTCCTATTGAGACACTTGAAAAAGTCTTGTATCCTGCTGGTTTGTGCGTGTTACCTTACCAAAAACGGAAATAAGATAATACACGTTAACTCTTATGCTCATGTTTTGCCATATAAACAACAGTAACAAATATGAGAAAACGCTACTACCGAAGTCCAATACATCTTTGAATCAGGTCTATGATGTCGTAGCTTAACTATTCGCCGTGCTCCGTTGCGTCTAACTATTACCTCGATAGCTCAAGCTTTGTTTGTATACTTTAAGGCTTAAACATATCAATAAACTCAGTGGTCAACGTCGTTGAACTAGAAAAAACCTGTCTAAGTCGAAAATGTTACAGAGTATAGTCTTGATGTTTGAAAAGGGCGCACAAGACAATAAAGATGATGCTATAGAGTGCGTACTATGCAACGATTCCTAGCACCGCTGAACAGGTGCCAGGGGAGAATATCGCTACCTATTCTGCACGCGTTCGTCAAGTGACGAACGTAGTGTTTTCTGATTGTAAATTTGCAAAATCAAATAGGTATTTCGAAAGATGAATTTAGATTGCTGCCTTATATTATGTGGCGGTGCTATTTCGTACAATGATAGTAGGTCGAACAGGAGTCGTGGCAGGTTTTAACGCGATGATTGGCATGGTGATGCCAGGTTTGACAAGAAGTGTAGGTCGAGGCCGAAAGATTGACCAAAACGAGTTGACAATCGTTGGCCGTATCGTTGGCGGCCATCGCTGTAGACTGTGCGTCATCAAAGTTGTCATAGTTGGTGGACGACTGAATTGAAAATAGGGCCCGCCTATAGCCACCGGCTGCTTATGCTGCACCTGTTGAGGTATTGAACACAACGACAGGGAAAAAGGCAATAGGGACAAAAGCTCAGTGTCTGTGTGAATTAATCAAGTGCCACCCGGTGCATCAAGTGTCATAATGATTTTATATATATATATATATAGACTAAAATAAAACCACCAAAGGACTTCTGGTCTTTGATATATGTTTAGATATTGTCAATTGAGAGGACCAATTAAGTGGAACGATTGAAAAGCACCAGTTTGGTTCTCATAAATTTAGTCTGTTTTTTGCCACCGTTCTTAATTATAACAGATCCTTTAGCCCACAAAAAGCTTACAAGCGAATTACTGAATTTAACAGCAGATACCAAATCGATCTTTTACCCAGCTGAAATAGAATAAAAAAAATAATGATAAATAAATCCTGTTGGGTATCGCCATTAGATTAGCAAAAAGGCCCGATATTTCACAAGCCACGGTAAGTGGGACCGAAACCCAGACAAGATCAAGTGAAATTTTCATGTAATCTTATACTTACTGGCAGATTGGCTATGCTAAGAACTGTAGGAAGCGTTGGACTACCGGCGGGTTTCATGTGTTGTTGCAATGGCCTGGGCTCCCATGTTGCGTTTGTTGAACTGCTACTCGCTAAACCACTGAACGCCGATGCAATACCGTTTACTTGAGGCTGGGAGGCTTCTGCTAACGGTGACTCCAATGAGTTTTCCTCATCGTCTATGTCATGACTCGGAACCTGTGTTGATGGTTTACTGTCTTCTGCACAGTCGCGTACGCAACGGTAGCCAGTGTTTAGACATAGTATAAGTATAATTAAAGCTGAGCGCCTTAGAGTTGGAGTTATAGTCTGCTTATTACGCGTTATTACTTGACTTATATGTATATGCGCTAATGGGGTCCAAAAACGACCTGCTATAGACCTACACGGAGTCAAACGGAACCGCTGATACACTTTGTCCTCATAATGACTCGACCTGCTCTCTTAAAAATACGTCAAATTCGGCTTGAAAGTAGAAAATATGGGATAGTAAACTGAAGGGAATGTTGAACTGCTAAGCCGTATACATATTTTCGGTTTTTTTTTACAAGGACCGCGATCTCCTTCCATAGCGAGGAGCTCAGTAGGAGAGGAAAATTATAATGTGGTCTTCGACGCCTAATGTCTGTAGACCTCTTACCTGTGTGATCTGGCTTGCCACAACAACTCCCATAAAGAAAGCCATCTGTGCAGGTTCCAAGGTGCTTGCCGTCAGTTTTAATACACTCCCACACGAACATACATCGGCCTTTCTCTCCCTGGGCGTTTGAACATGACTTTTTTGCTCCCATCTTTGCGCCTGTTTAGAAAACATTATTATTGTAGACTTTTCACATGTGAAACAGTTTCATTGCATGGATAAGTCATTCTATGTTTCTCGGTTGTTACTGGTAAACACAAATTCGCGAGTGCAATTGACAATAGGAAACTTGAACCTTAGCTTATTACCACGTCTTATAACGGGCTAAAAAAGCAAAATTAATTATTTTTTCACTTCTGTTCACTGACGTATAAACCGAAAACCGTTAATGTCTTTGCAGGCATCTTGTAGGTATCTGTAATTTCAAAATTTTTAAATATACAATTCACGATGTCGTGAACAACTCAAACCGCGGATTTGTGTGAATTTTTAAACAAATCAAGATTTGGCCACCGCAATTTAAAAATAAGATACTTATTCTGGATAATTGCCAAGATATCTAAAACCTCCAGTAGCTCGATCGTAGAGGAAAAATAAATTAGGGAATCCGGTAGTCGTACAAAAATTTTTCTGTTTTAGAACAATGCTTTGACATGTTGACATAGAATTAATTTTTCATTTATTTAATTCCTAGAAATTATCTAAAGCGATTAAGGCGAATATAAATTATTACGACAACGAAGATGAAATTTTGTCTACTGTACAACGATCCCAGACAGCAGTAGTAGTAAAAGCAAAGGATGGTCGCAAATTTTCCCGGTTTTTCATTAGTGTATTCATAGCGAATGTAGTATAACACAAAAAAAGAAAAAATTTCCTATAGTAAATCATTTGACAAATGATAGCAGCTGAAATTTCTGTGTCCTAACGACGGATTTACTTGTGTTGAGAACAATGTAGGCAGTATTTATAGCATTAAAATGTTAGGAAAAATTGCTTGAGGTACAAAAAAACGATAAAAACGATAATATAGCAGGCCACTTTTTGCTTGTATGCATAGAAAATCGCATAGAGTTGGTTATACAAGGTTAGATAATACCATCACGCTTATGTACTAAAAGCCAACGCAAACTTTTAACTAGATGTAACCAAATATGTACCTATTGACATGGGGACGAAAAGAACGACTACGACTAGAATCAAGCTCATGTAAAGATCGGGTATCGTGGATTTCATAGTCCCCCTCCGCCGTCTCCGATTTTTGCATTGATTCGGCGCACGTAGTGTGGGCGTTCTGCCATTGTAAAACGACACACTAACTAGACTTTTGTGGTAGCGCCATCTTGATGAGGGCATTCGCATTTCTAGTGTTGATCGCGACCCCCCCTCGCGGGCCATCCTCGAGGCCCTAACCGTTTACTGCTGCATCATGCCTTTCTATGGCCCGTCGCTGTAAAAAAAACATAAATAAGTTGAAATTAGATTAAAGCAATTAGGCTTAAACAATTCATTACTGTGTTACATATAACATCTTTAGGCTTCATATTTCAAGAACATATGCGTCATGCGTACACAAACAATTTAACGTCATTGCTAAAATAATTTTTGTGTTTTTTTAGGACTTTTTTTTAGAGAGCTTAAGAGCGAATGCAGCGGTACTGATAGAGGCCCGAAAATCACGCAACCCTGAAAGGTTAACTACATTTCCATTATAGCTTTCGTTGAATCAAAAAGTAAGATAAATAAACATCACCTTAGGAGGCAAGGTTACCTTATTAGGTCCTGGTCTGGATCTTATTTCTATTGGCAATGAATTCGTTTAATTGATTTTTTAAGGTGATTTTTGTTTATTTTTTTTCGTTAACATAAAAACGGCTCATTAGAGGAACAGCCGAACCCGTCAAAAGATCGTTATGTAATCTTTTAAATAGTTATGATCGTTTAAAAGTAATACAATTACATGAAATACACAATCTCAAGTTTCTCTTCTAATGTTTAAAGACCTTACACTTTTACATTATAGTGCAAAACGTTTGGCTTAGTTAATTAAGTATATTAATTCTTTCGTGACATTATCGCAACATGCTTCTAACGCAAGAGGTTGACGAACGGCAATGATATCCTTACATTGACGTTCGGCCACGTTCCGCATGGGCCAATAATGTTGAATACGATCGAAGTAATCAAAATGATCTGTTACATAACTGCTCAAGCCGCTGTTTCAGTGTTGCGACAAGTGACTGCCCCCTTCAAGCTACAGGTTTCCAAGGCAACCGAGTGCGACTAAACTATGTCGTCATCGAGTGGGCAGTTCCAATGTGGTCTTGCAAGACTCGCGTAACAGACAGAAGCAGGCGCATGACTGTCGTTGTTTTGACTTCACAGCTTCGCTTGTTTTCCCCCGCGTATTAGCCCACACCATAGTGTTACAGCCCTGGAGCGCGTTCGCTGTTCATCTTGATGTCATTCATAACTCACACGCAAGTCACCATTGAACATTCTCGTCCATCTACATCACGTCATGTCAGCTCAACGATGCGTGAGCTCAACAGCTCCCACTGGACTCTGCAATACCATACAACGTGTTGTGAAAGTTTTTAGGATCATTAACTGCAACGACACAATTTGTAACCCAGGTCTAAGTTCTGGCAAAACGAACATGGCGATGGAAAGACGTGAGTAAGCGTGAGTGGAACAGGAACGACTTTAACTACCTCAAGGAATTTGGCCATTTTGTCGTTTATAACATAACCTGTCGACAGTTAGTCCTTTCAAAAGCTGGCTCCTCTTCATAACTGCAGAGAACTGGTATAACATAAAGCCGTTGCTATTGATAACGATGCCACTGATCAACAAATCATATATACATGCACCAGTGTAACCGATGACTATGCGTTCTTGAGTAAGAATGCGGAGCTTACAATCAATCTTGCTAAGACTAGCCTAGGCTCGACACCTCACCGTTTCTAGCCACTTCACTATAACGGGCGTTGAATAGACGATGAAACTTAGATGTAGATCATGGAGCAACGACGATTGCTCAGTCGACCATAGGCGCTAGTGTTCACAGTGAGGATAGCAGCTTCTCGATGACCTGTTGACTGATATTTATCAAATCGTTTGTCACCAATCTTTATTTATAAATTAATAAACCTTTATTATAAATCGAGCAGTAACTTGACAATGATGCATGAGCTAGAAGTGTTTTAGCAATGATGCTATAATAAATACATATATATACATAGAGTGAGGAAGAGAGATTATTTTTCCATCACAGTCTCGCTTGTCCTAAAGCCATATTTTGAAAGGCAGATTGAAACTAAGTTGCATTGTTGCAAGTTTCTTCACATGACCACCTTGAAGGCTACACAGGCCACATGCAACCGATTCGAGTTACTGCTAATTTTATAGAGAAACTGAAGGAACGAAAAGGGACAACTCTTTTTAACTGAAGTACCATACTATCGCCTTCGTTGCACTATATGTCGTTGTGGTCAACAAAGTGTGCGAAGGGATGTCTGACGACCTTCTTAGCTCAACGCACTGTTCAGATAAAATGATAATCACAAAATTATGATTAACAAACATCGGCTGCTCTAGCTATAATCATATTCTGTTAAAAAAAAAAAAAAAAAAACTTTACACGAAATTATTTGTGACCCATGTAATCTGTCTGGCAATGTGTGGACCAACGAGATAAGTAGTGTTTTCATTTGATACGTTTTCGAAAATTAATTAATGTTAGTAGGCTCATCCAGTTCGTCTTCGACGAGTATTTTGGCATATTTTTACTGTATAGTCTTTTCCATGATATCAGTTGTTTTTAACGACAGCGATAAACATATTTTGACCCATATAGTCCAAAATCCCTCAAACATATTTAAGCGGAAATCAGCACAAATCTCTCATCTTAAAAATTCTAACTATAATTAGTTTAAATACACCCATATATTATGCATTTATTTGGAGGGTGTAGACGCAGTGCTGTTGACGCTGAAATTGCAATAGATAGTACTCGAGTTTTAGGAGGCTTTAGGAGTGGGCACTTTCCTTTTTTCGCAGTAACGCCTATTCGTTGTTCGCGAATCATCCAATTTGAAACGTAACGATTAATATATCTTCTCTCTAGTGCACTATCGTACTCGGCACTGTAGCATAGCTACCTTCCATATGGAATCGGAGAGTAGTAGACCGCCTTTCTTCCTTTTTTTTTTTTTTTTACCTGTCGTTGTCTCTTAGGATTTCGATACAAGCTGAAAAATTTAGTGTAAATCTTTTCGATTACATATAAAGTGTGAATCAGCGCATTTTTGCTTCGTTTTTGTATTGAAGGGTCTTCGAATGGCAAGTAGAGCGGCACGTCCCAGCCATTGCAATTGACGGAAACAATCCACTCCAGCCAGCTTCTTACTAATATCGAAGTAGGTATCTCTGTTCGCTGAAAGTTTCTCAATATCATCAGGTGAATAGCGCAAAAAAAATAAGAAACAAACAGAGAAAATAGAACGGAATTCCTTTCTCTGAGTGCCAGAAGTAGAAGCCTTCGAAGGCAAGGGACGAAGCGAGGAACAATCAACGAGCAGCTAAAGAAAGTAACTCAGATAGGACAAAATGATTAACCGCACAATACCAATAGTAATAATGCTAGCAAATTTAATCATTGAGTATCGCTGAACATTGCGACGCCGGTGTCGCATTAACCGAGATGGGCGAATGTAAGTTTTACAGGAAATTCGGAAAAATTGAAATTGTAGTTGTTAGTTGAAGTTTTTCGTTAGATGAACATCTATTACGATTCAACGATTTCCTCTTCTTGCAGTTGATGGACATCTGTCTGGTTTGCCCGAGTGGACTTTTGGGTCGAAGCCATTTCCATTGACCGTAGCATAATGGCGAGCCTGTTATTGCTGCGGCGCGCACACAGAACATCGCAATCGAACAGGCGTTCTTATCGTCACTTTATGGGTTTAATGGAATGGATAAGAAATAGATCTTTGTCACTTCACGCCGAAAAAGCCAATAGCCTAACAACAACATTGCAAGCTAGTGAGGGCTCTAATCTGCCAAAAGAGAGAGCTCGAGAAGTTAGACTATAATATAACTGTATTAGGTTACTAGCATTGGGAGGCGGATAATCGTACAAAAACGAAAAAAAAAAAAAAGATATTTGTAGTGGCGCTAATAATAACGGAAGGGGCTGGACTTGAAGCAGTGTTTAACGGTAGTAACGATAGTATGAAAACTTAACGAACCAGGTTCAGTGGTAATAGCAGCGGCAGTAGAAGCCACTGTAAAAGCGAATAGAGGCAGTAATAGCATCACTGCCATATCGCCTGCCTTCGCTTTGGGTTCGGGGTTAGCGTCGACATTGTATCTAACTTTTCCACTACAGGCCAGAAACATGCCGGAAGCTAACATCTGCCCAAGGATCAAGTGATGACGTCATTCTGGTGCAATTTGGCCATGCCATAGGAACGTATAATAATGACAAAAAAAAACAACAAGGGTACCGTACCATGATTTTAAGCTTTCAATATAAACATTAAGAAGTAAATTGAATGGCACGAAAAGAAGAGTTCTTAAACATAATTATACAAGAAACCTGTTTAAAAAGCCGTAGCTGAATTCTTCTGCACAATAAGTGAGGATATGTGAAGAACAATTTGAAGGCATCGAAGTGTATTAGTTCGAATTCGATCTAGCGCAAAGCTTTTAACAGTAATCCCTAATCTAATTCTCAACTAAATATTCACCCGTGGCGTTCGGATTTCAGGCGGCGACTAAGTGATTCGGAGCGAAAGTGTCAGCAACAGATCCCCATGGTTGCCTTCGTAAGAAGTTAACTCGACAGAATTCAGCCTGGATCATCGAGTTGTCCAAATGCTGAGTTGTTAATAGGGCAAGCTTTCGGCATTACATAGTATATACGCCATTAAATATTTTTATATACCAGAAAGAGGTACGGCGCTGTCATGCAATACGCAGCCCGTATATGTTGTCAGTGAGCTTGAGTGATTGATGCCTAAAATGTAAGTATACGCGAACAGGCGCACCCAGCTATTGAGAGAATTATGGTAAATCTGATAGGTCTGTACCTAAATCAACGGTTCAGTCTTTTCAAACTGTCCTTTCATGCAGAGTTGCACAAGTAAGCACAGAAACATGCCAGGATGATTCACTACTAACCATCGAGCTGCTCTGCTAGAAAGGAACGTCTGCTTTACGGGAGTTGGACTTAGCACTATAACTGAGCGATATTATTATGGGTTGATGAGAACTCTGGTAAGTCTGAGATATTTCTGCCTATTCCGCAATGGATCGAACCATTGTTTATGCAATGAGATGACTGTTTTGTTGAATATATTATTTTCACGTACTTTTTTTTTAATAACGCTTTGAAGACCAGTGTTTCCTGTCTGCTGATCGAGTAGTTACGAAGCGTTTTATTTATACATTGATTAATATTAGCTCGATGTCGCAAATTCAACTCTCGATTGGCGGATCAGCGAAGTGCTCTTTGAAACAAGGAAATAGTAAAACTATAGCGACATGCAAGTTATCAATTGTAACTGAATTATCATGCGTACATCCAACAAACAGGTACACCGCAGCGAGGTAATTAATCTATGGCACCTAAATAAGGCCCTGACAAATTGAGCTCTCGAAAAGCCCGCCGCTATCTTCCATGATTATTGCATTATAACCGCCTTGTTCATAGCAGTAACAATTATTAGGGGACAGGGCGGTCTAAAATCACGCCGATCTCCTTCGTAAGTAGCTCTTCAAGCATATCTTAGGCCTTATAGGGTACATCATGCTACTTCACATGTTAAAATTATAACAAAATTAAATCGTATGCGTCGCAAGAAGACAAATGCGACATTTTTTTGATTATATCATGCAGTTACGGTTGTGCATTATTCGATGACGGATATAACGCTCTCATGCGTTCTTCCATCTACTACCGTATTGGAATTTCTGTCTGGTCACGTTTCTTTAAAGCGAATCGTGCGTGAATCATGTATTCCTCCTGTCTTCTATAGGACGCTTCAATAAACAGCTGCAAAATGTCTGTGAACGCTTGCTATAACTGTTATTTTAATTATCTACACTATATGATCTGTGCGTCGTATTGCACAATCTGGCGGAAATGTAAGGGTTTCTTATATATACATATATTGAAAGTGACAAAACTGACTGCGTCTTCAACTGGCACTGAACAACATCGATAAAATAAATCTTGTTCGAGAGGAGCAACCATAGACACTGTTCTTTTATAAACTTCGAATACCAGCAAAAAGCGTCGTCGTGTAGTGCTTTTTAATTCTCCGTCGTTTAACGGTTACGCGGCATGCTGGTATCCCCTTGCTACCGTCTTTCTTAGTTTTCATATGATTTTTGTGTGACATATTGGCCAAAAAAGGATTTCTATCTAGCTCGGTCGCGGGTCAAAGAATGGCGTTGCTTAAAGTGCTCACTCAAGTCATTCACCGCAACATCACACCCTGAGGAATAACTCAGGGGACTATTACAAGTACCACCATATTGAATGAGTGTTTGTTGAGGCATCTTAATCCGGGTGGGAACGGAAGCACGGAAGGACGATGTCATATATATAAACAGCCGCAGCCATATATATGTATGGATGCCGTTGCTGCTGTGATTACTTTCACTATTATATAGTTCATTCACGCTAAGAAAAACCGAAATCGAGCAGTGGCAGCTAAACTGGAGTCGCTCATAGTTGTAGTTAAACTCTTCGAAGCGAGACCAAAGAAGTACCGAAGAAAAATGGCAGTACGATGACGATTCTTAAACCAGTGTTCTTACGGTTAAGTGCGAGGGGCTTCATGAATTAGTCTGTCCACATGACCGCGCTCGCGTAGCAAACGATTTGCAATAATCAAGCCCATATAGCTTTGTTGTTCAGCTTGTAGGACCTAAATAGTCAACCTGATCCTTAGCTATTGCCACCATCATCATTATAATATACATATAATGGCGATATCTATTGCGATATCGTTATACTACTGTCATCGTCGGTACTTACTAGGATCGCTATTCCGTTTGGCTTTACCAATATTGCGAAAAAGCCGCAGTCTTGCCTGTTTACCACTAACGTTTCACTCGATGGCCTGATTCGTCCCCGACATTTGTGGGGTATTGTTACGAGAGAATGCAACGGACTTCGAAACTGAATTTTGAACTATGCGTTAATAACGGACGAAATTTTATTGGTAAATACTGATGATGGTGATAACATTTCGTAAGAAGGCCATAAACGGATGTACGGTACGGTACGGTACGGTTTCAAGAACAAATAGCAGGTGATAAAGATCAGCGGGCACGTGACCACATTTTGGCACCCGAAGAACAAGAGCATTTCCACCAACTAACTTTAGACAATAAGTTCAATCTGTGAAACTTTAATCAACAAAGAATTCGCCTATAAAGCATATCGCCGGCCTATAAGACATAGTTCAATGTCTACAGTCAGCCGGATCAAGCGAAAAAATAGTGACGTTCTGGAACGAAATATTGGTTTGACGACTATGGCAAGTAAGTTCGGCTCTAAAGCAACTGTACCATCTGCAGTGGACATCAACCGCATCTGCTACTATGGGGTATTTACTAAAAATAAAATAACGAATGCAACCAACAATCTCAAGCTGCCTAAGCGACACACAGACTATCAATAGAGCAATCGAAGGCAGGCAGGCAGGCAGGTAGTCCAGTTACTATATAACAACGGTAGACCTTATCGTTGGGCCTTAATTATTTTCTAAATTTAGCAAACGAATACTCAACGTTGGCTTCAGCCCACTCGTTCTCCCGCGTCATGTCTGCGTGATCACGAGGCATTCGATAATTTGAAAAGAAAAAAGATATTACATATAAAACAGAATCGAGAGTGTCGAAACAAAAAAAAGGTCTAACACATGTTCAAAGTTATCATTCTGGCCCGAAGCGTTTAGGAGTTATTCAGTTTTAACGTCTGCTGGGCTACGCTTGTGACACCCTACTGGTAAGGAGACGTAAGAAGGGTTTCACGTTGCCGATTTCGAGACATTATTCAAAATTGACGGAAAATGGATCTGCAGTCGATTATCGTTCTCTGCTTGAATATATCTACGCTCACCGGTTAATAAAAATTGAAACTAGCTAGTATAATATATATAATTATTAATTTGATCTTTCTCGATAAAAAACGAAGTTGCGACTGTAGGCTTAAGATACGTTTTTCTGTCTTCGTATGGCTGCATGTATTAAAGCATCTTGTAAACTTTCATAAATTAACGCAAAGTTAATAAGGTATCAAGGCCTTCATTGTTTATGGAGTTTTATTTTACATTGGGGACCCCTGCAACGGTTTTCGATTTCTTGAGCTACAATATATATACAGATAGCGAGTATCAGGGTGCATCCATAATCCTGTTACTGTTGATAATATTGTATATTTTGTTTCTGGAACGATTCTTTCTTAAATTATTCGTAACTTTGCCAACAACTTCTTGCCCTGTCCTAATATATAGCGTGACTACGCTTGAAACGATGCTGAAGGGCACTTTGTTTTCAACGGGTCAACCAACTATAGGCCAGCACAGAGAATCATGGTAGATTTTGATATCGACGATGAACTTACGTTAACGTAACATGGCGTCGATTGAAGAAGTACGTCAAGTTATTATCAGTTTTGGATTTATATAGCGATACTTAACGCCGTTTAGCAATGGTGGAAATTGTGCACATCGAGTTCTCGTAATGAACGTGACGAAGACCTTCCCTACTCGATAACATTATATTATTATATATTCCTATTGTATATTTCTTTCTAGTCTGGACCTACCTTAATTATGTTACCGCACGACTTTGCCCGATACAGTACGATATATCGATAATACTAATCGTTACTGGAAAAAAACCCTTAGAGTCTCCTCAACGTGAAGTTATCCTGAATTTCATAGATCAGTTGGTTACAGACCTAGGAAGCTCCTTTTCATTTCATCTGAAGCATCTAGTGCTGTCTACAAGCAGAAGCAAAAGTAGTTGAACCAAGGAACATTCAACTACTATTTCACAATTAAGATAGCACTACTTCGGGTATTTACCGATGCTGTGTTCGGCTTGAGCCATAGGAATCACAGAGCCTTTTTAGTTACTATCTTTATTCTTGTTCCTACCACATGTCTGGTACTCTGTACCTTGCGATCGTAGAACATCGAGGTGCATTGCGAATCACTGCACTGCTTGGTCCTCAAGCCCCATACATTGCACCCCACTCCATTCCTCCAGCCTTATACGGTTTCTACGAAGCTGATAATAAGCTATAGAATAGTGCAGAGACTTTCTAACCGTTCAAATGCAATTTGGCTGCATCGTCCTGCACAGGTGCTTCTTTTTTAACCCTCAATTTAGTTAAATATAAGCAAAATGATTTCATCATTGCCAAATTATAAAATATGTTGTACTTCAAGGTTTTGTAAGTAACGACGAACGCTTTGTCAAGCCAAGTTAGCTCTGTGCTTTCTCGTGTGTGCTTCACACATTGGTAACAAGAAAGATGTTACGGCTACTCGTTCATTATCGGTGCCATTCTCTTTGTGCCTTACTTCCTAAGGGATATCTGTAGACCTCTTGATTTCTGTCTGTACGCGTTAATTTTTTTGTATTCCAAATAATATCGTATAACATTGGCCTACCTTTCACCGATGGCCGCTTCACCTCGTGCTATTTCATCTGATTAGAAAATCACTCTTTGCAATTCGTCGTCGTTAACTGGCAACAGAAAACACTCTGTCGTTCAGAAGCGCTCCTAAGGGGTGTGATCATGACCAGGCCGCTTAAAACTGTCGACGGTAGTGACGCTGACATTCGGTTTCCCTTGGATGTATTTTTTTGCCATCGCTCTTGTTGTTTAACCACAGGTGGTACCAAAAAAAGGGCACGATGGGCACTGTGCGCGCGGTCTGTGATTGTTTTCTGATACGGAATCGCCGTTGTTTTGCTTAGATGACGTGGAGCCTTGCAGTCGGCACGGCTTTCTTTCAACACAGATCGACATCTTTGTTGCATTCAGACCACTATCGTTATCAGCCTGTCTACCTACACCAGCCATCCGGAGAAACTACCAGCCATCAGCTGTAATAGTGATACCGGTAATAGTAGCAGCAACGAAACGAATTGCATCTGTAGCAACGACACTAGTAATACCACCGTACCACCAGCAAAAAAGTGAGATGATGACGTTTGGTTTTTCGACCAAAAGATCGACCAATTCTACGTCCATCGCTTCTTCTCTTTAGATAAAAAAAAAAAACAGCAGCAAGCAGATGATACGTGATCAATATATGGCGGCAGCAGCAGAAGCACCAGCAGCGACAGTACGAGCAATCAGTGCTCGGCCACTGCTGTTGCAGAAATCGCTACCGAAGCAATCAGATGCCGTCAAAGCCTGGGTTTGGACCCCTCAATTTCTCCGATTCAGGCGACGGCGGCAGCGGCGTCGGCGGCAATGGTAAAAGCGACAATACTAACCGTAGTTGTAGTAGTCAACTATTCATCTATTTGTTATCAGGAATAATTTCCTAGATCGTTCATCGTAAATCCATTGAGTCAACGACGATGCAGCGAAAGCTGCGACAGCTAAGCAAGAAAAGAGCTAAAAATCGCAGGTAGTAGAAGTCGTCACTTCAGTAGAAACAGCTTTTTGTCACGAAGGATGACCGATATCGGGTTGGACATTATACGGCATCGCAGTGCAACATATTTGTCCAATTCTTGCTACACGGACCTGCACTAGACCGGATAGAGCATTCAGCCCCGAACGGAGATGATAAGAGATTGCCCTTCTATCTATCTACTATGTCGGTCAAAGTCTTCTAGTGGCGATGTAACACATAAGTCTGGTCAGTAGGGAAGAGATCGCAGAGGAACCAGGACGTAAGTGAAAAATGCTGCACCTTACGATGGAAAAAGTGCGCCATGCATGAAGGTATCAGGTCAGGACGTTTCGAGGTAAATAAAGCATTACATCATTGCAACAAAAGCTAGCATGGTAGGCTTCACAAAAGAGCAACAATATATCGTGGCCATATATGCGCATGATTGAAGATTGCGCATATTGCAAGTTGACTTTTGTTCCACCGCTGTACCTAAGCAGCCTTGTGCACGACTGTATCCATGTACGTCACCATAAACAATAAAGTTTCTTGCACTTGTTCATTGGTTGTCACAAACGGTAGCTGTGCCTTGTTATGGCCATGATCGAGGCGAGCTGCAATGTACCTTTACGTATAGTTTCTATGTGACCACATTTCTATGTGCTGTCACGATGGACGAACGAAACGCTAGCCATAGAGGTCCGAATCCATCGGAAGTGCTCGTGTTATCTTGCAAATGCCCTTCGAGCTTGTTTTAGCCGTTGAACGTTTTAGGAAAAAAAGCGGGCCCTTCAGTCGCGAATAGCAGAAATCAAGTATAGAAAGACGTGTCTCGTTATAGATATTAACCACAGTTATCATCGGCATCAAAACCACCTCCAAGGGTCCCCCTCCGTAAGCGAGAGCTCGCGGAAACGTTGTTGGGCTACGAGTAACTGTATGTAGATGCGTAATAATATTAGCCACGCCGGTAGCAGCGTTCGGCATGCGTGTGTATACACTTTCCTCAGTATACAGTAACCCTCAGGAGGCTAATGGTAGCAGCTTTCCCTCAGATAGACAATGGATGCGGAAACCGGCCAACACGAAGTTGGTAACGACAACAATAAAAAGAATTGGTAAATAAAAGAGGAAAAGCATAAGCAAACCAATAACGACGACGGAAAAGAGACGGTGGAGGAGGAGAGGGGAAAGGAGCCGACGACTACGAAAAAAGAAAGACGAAATAACTTGACAAAAAAGCAATATGGGAGGACAACAGCGCAGCACTACTTCTGTTGTAGCTAAACGCACCTATGTGATCGGCGCCCACGTCAGCCGAAACGACCAAAGAAACAAGTATGTTTGAAAATGTCAGAGAAAGCCCAAGGAAATCGATGCAGTAAACGTGACGATGATGGTCGCGGTGACAATGATGCTGCTGGTGATGATCATAATGATGGTGATGATAATGACGAGCCTATAATATTGATGACGATAATAGTAGCAGGCAGCGGGAAGTAGGGAACCGTCGGTGCGTTGGTGCAAAAGTGAAAACTTCGCGCATCCACCCCGGAGTGACCCCAAGACCGACTACTGCAGCGGCCATTGCGAAACGTTCCCAACTATACCGCCACTATAGCTTCCAGCACGACGACGCCGACAGAGGTCCACAATCAGGCACCGGCCAAGCGTGCTACATCTGGTAGATCACAGGATCCATGCTGATACCTAACCGCGATCGTTGCGGTAAGACTGTTAGAACTTATAAATATGGATTTGACTGAATAAATTGTTATATCAATAGCCGATGCAGGGAAATAAGCGTTCGCAGCTCGCAGCGAAAACCCAAAATATTATGACTGAAGCAGACGGGGCACTCATGCGTTGACTCTGGCACAGACGCAATTCGATGAAGATGAAAAAATCGACCTGATAGACTTTACGTCTTTTCACCCCTTTGGGCAGATTAGAAATAATAATGGCTTGTTCATAGATCTTAAACTATCAGAGAGGTCGCTGACTCTTTGCGGCTTCTGGCTATGGTCGAGCTTGGAGGAATATTTTACAGTTTTTCTATCGGTTTCCGTAACAATGTAAGTATAAGAAAAAAGACCGCAGAATATATATATATATATATATATATATATACCAAAATCGTTACATTTGTGAAACCTTAAGTCATTTGTCATATTTATTAAAACAAAACCAATCAAGTATTATTGGGCACGTAATTGTGGTTTTTAGCTTTATGCCTCGCACTTATTTTGCAAGCGATGCTGTTCCAGGAAAAGGTCTGAGAACATACTGGCTGAGGAAATCAAGACCTTCGAGATCTCAATACGCATTTATTGCTATGGAAAGAAGTCTAAAACAATGCGACACAATTGTCAATACTAAATAAATATATTTTCACGACTTTTCTCTAACGTTGATGCTTTTCACTGAATTTAATGTGTTTTAGAATCCATGTTGAGAGGCATTGTTTGTTTGTTTGTTTGTTGCAGAAAATTGTAAAGAATAAACCACGTAATTGTTTCAATATGTGTTACTTTTTGAGAATGTGGTCGTCATAAAAGCTCTATGGTTTCTAGCCTTCCATATATTTTAATAATGTTTTAAAAAACTTTAAATTACTCCAAGAATATTAACTCTAGAGAGAAAAATGTAATATCGCTCTTTATTGAATTGATCACTTTTTTATGGCGAAAAAAAAATTAAGACCTTGAACACAAAATTGCCTACGAAATATCCCAGTGCATTAGTTGCTTTAGGTCTGCCTTTATATGATATTTTTTTTACCGACCCACTTTTTCTGCCAACTTCACTGTTTGTGACGAAAATGCGAAAAACCGGTCCTATAATTACGCTGCACAATTTATATATTTTTTAACCTGACCTTTTTCTCCCATATTCTACACCTAATCTTCTACGAAGCGAAGTTCGATAAGTTCTCCCTGAAACTGGCATCTAATGTTAGCTGGATTGTTCATTCTAAATTAGCTTACCAGGCTAAGCGTTCACGTCGTATCTCTTAATTTCGACGTCCGTTTTAAAGGTATTCCTGCACGTTACGTACTAAATTCCACTCGTTCGCTCCGAATTAAGTAGACGAAAAAGTTCACTTTCTCTTGTAGATCTGCATTAATGGCTAGAAAGATTTCACTAGTTATCGCCTCCTCATAGGCTCTAGATGTGGCAGTGTTCGCGCATAGGCCGTGAACACTTTGATGTGCAAACACTCCGAGATCGTTACTGACGGAAACAAGTTATAGCACAAGTTCGACTGAAGCCGTTAGACAGATCTTCAGTATCTTTGTGATAAAACTACACCTACCTGGCTTGATCACTTTTAAACAATTAGCACTAGCGGAGCCATTGATGGCAAGGCTTACGTAGTTCAATCTTACTACGGCCCAATAAAGGGAAAACTCCGCTACTGGAAGGAATACTACCACTCAACTAATTGCTGACAGCGTCCGTTGTGTGTGTCACCGATACAATGCGATCAGACACCAATTCAGTCGTTCCGTATTTGTCAGTCTCTTTGTTGTAGATGCCGACAATTGCCCTGCTATTGACGGCTTACTAAAACAGCTTCAGTACCACAGGGAAAAGCGCCATTACAGGTCTATTACTAGCATAACAAGCAGTGATGGTGATGCTCGACCACTGACTGACTGACTTTCCAGCGACTGATGCTGCAGGCGTGCGAGGCTGCCAGGCAGCTCCTGCGAACGAACGAACGAACGAGTGAGAGATGGGCATGGGACCGGACAGCCACTATCACATTTGATGCTGTCGTCGTAGCTGGCGCCCGGTTGTGCTGCGGCTGCTGTAGGCCGCAGTAATAGTACGACAGTGAATGTGGTGCAGCGTGGCGCCTTCGTCGATGACGAAAGGAAAGGACCGCAGTTGGCTTGAGACCCGTGACGGCAACAGGCCATAACCTGGAGCCTCGGGGCAGCTGTCAAGACACGACGACGGCCCACCTGGGCAAGCATCGTCACCAAGCACACGCTCGACCATCATAAAAGCAATGCTAGCTACAACAAGGATTGCAACGACGACAAAATGTTCAATGCCTTGCAAAGGCAGGCACACAGACTAAGAAAGACACACAAATAAACCGATACAAGCGAACACGCACATAAACGGCGACAGCAATAGCAGCGGCGGACGAGGCAGTTACGGTTCTTCCTAAACAGAGAAGATGTTGTCGTCCGCAAATGACTGCAAAGAAGGCGATGATTGTGATGGTAATCACGATGCTGATGAAGCAGATAGTGTTCCCACGACTGGACAGTCAACGGTCCACAAGCACTATATCTATCGACAACTTGATTAACCGTAACAGCTCCAGCAAACGGCAGGTAATGCTCATGCTGGCCGACGAAAAATAATCCTGGTTGTAGCTTTTGATGAAGGTCCGTTCAGCAATAGCAAACAGCCATCCCTCCTGAGAAGGGATTCACAATCTACAACGACGAAAAGAAGACAAAGTCGGCGGGGCTCACAACAGCTGCGAACGCGTTATCGCTACAGCCCATCCGGCAATACATATACATTCATACCACGTAAATTGATATACTGTCTATCGCTCCCTCCAATCACATAGGAGCCTAGTAGGAGATCAAATGGTCGATCAGTGTAATGACATAACGCGTTAATTATAAAGTGACTTACACCTATCGACCATGTGGAACCATATACATGTGTCTGTGTGTGTAACTGAGTGAAAATAGATGGAACCTTTGGCAAACGCTGACAGAGACATCTCTGGCAAACGTGTTTATCCAATCTAACTGCCGTTCGCTTCAATTGGGGCCTAGACCGGTTGCAAGACGTCGACAAACACTTCTTCTCTATACTCACCGACGACCATCTAATGGTAACCATGAATAAAACGATATTGGAACGCGTAGACTTGTTGAAGTCTCGACCACACCGGACATAAACAATTTGAACTTCAGGACAACAGTAGGTAGATGTCCAAGAATCCAAAACGCGCAAAAAGATGCCAAAAAAATCTTCAAAAACTAGCCTTTGGCGAGTCACATCGATAGCCCAATTGCCGATAGGTAGTCTCATCTTAGTTAATTTCTGCTTAAGAATCTAAATTTTTCTACTATTTTTATAAATTTTAGAAACTCTTGGAAATTAGAAAATCTTCTGCTTTACGACATAGAATTTTTTCTTGTCGAAATTTTCGGGATCAGCATAAAGACAGGTAACGATGACTAATTTTCATACAAATTGCAAACACTTTAAAATTAGCACAGCACGAGAGAAAGCCTAAACAAAGCAAAAAATAGGGCAGATTTTAAGGTTGATCAAGTTACCCAAAACTGCATTTTCCATAATCCTTCTATAGAAAACTAGGATCTAAGGTACATGGCATATGTTGTACAAGTCAGACATTGGATCTGCTAAAACCTTAACACTTAATACAACTTTTTAGCTTTTTTAGGCGACATTGAGAAGATTCGCAGGTCGTCTTAGCTCTTTCTTTAAGGAACAAATCGATGTCTATTTTCAACGTGGATTCGTTTATCCTTTGTGACAGATGGCGCGTACTTTGAACCCCAATTTAACGAGCGCGGAAAGGGTAACGGACTAGATGATCTACGTGTCTCTTGTGCATAAAACCAAAATTTTGGCCAGTGTCTATGTTCTTGGCCTGGTTTTCAATGAAATAAGCGTCTTCTTTCCGAAAAGGCAAAATCATCAACTAATTCTAGTTTCACCGTTAATAGTTGTGATATCTAAAGAGAAGCCCACGCGGCTTTCGACAAGGTAATGCATCGGCCTCTGCGAACAAGCACGTAAACTCGCTATAGAGCTCAGATCAGTATGTAGGTACAGTGATCTGAATTATATTTATGACTGATGAAAGCAAAAATCACTTTCAACATCTGTATGGTATCAAAAACATTTTCTACTATCGCCATAATCGATATTACGTAAGCGGCGAAGAGCGAGAGCAGATTTAGAGATGTGTCGTGCATGGCCACGTGTTATACAATGCAGGCTAAGGTATTTGCTGACTATGAGCGGAGCTTTACCTGTTAGTAAATTTTGACCGCGTATTGACCGGTGATTATTTCTAGCCCACCATATCTATCAGTATATTATTTTTAAAGCATATTCTTTTTTGTGACTGTCACACATCGTCTACTACCAACAACAGTAATAGAAAACATTTTAAACACTACGGCCATTATTGGCTACCTGGAAATTAGCGATCTAAATGGCGTATTGCCCCGGGATATTGCAGCCTAAATAAGGCTGGTGCGCGTTTAAATTACCTGAGGTGCGCTAATATTGCCTTTTTATCTAAGGACGCATCAGCCAAGACGGTAGGATCGTTGAACATCGAGCTAGATAGATGTATCATTATAAATAGGCAGGAAGGAAACGAATTTAAATCGAACTCGCCTTTAACAACATGAGCTTTGGGTATATATTGAAGGTTCTCTATCAAACTTAGTACCACTAATAACATCGCCGCCGCGTGACACAAAGCCGTTGGTCGCTTAGCACAAGATCAACTGGTTTAGTTTTCCCTAGACTACCTTAGTTCCTGATTCCAAATAGCTATCAGCCTACGTCTTTCTTTATCATTGCTCATTGATGATCCATCTAAAACTATCTCAGAAGTGTACAAATGTCCTTGGAATATATTTAGTACCTTCGTAACTGTGGCTCTGCCCCTGTTATCTATCTCATATGAAAAACGAAATAAGGCGTCATTGCCTGTACGTACTTAAAAGCCCCCCATATATATATATATATATATATAAATGTAATGTCTATAAACAAACATACGCTTCCTCCTAATTGAGACTGGTCCTGTGAGGGCTTTTTCGGACGTGCCTCTTTATCGTATATCAAATGCATATAAAGTATAAGTAGCGTGACAAACTGGGGACGGAAGTGCACAAAAACCCTAAGATAACTCCTTAGGGGTTCACATAATAGGATTTGACTAAGCGCTGCATCGCACTTATCAGAATTACTACAGGTCGCTACAAACGCTGTTGCTACCTAACATTTTGACGCTGTCCGAGGATGTGATATCATTATAGCGAAATCCGCGACCTACCATATATGATTCAAACAGCAGCAAACCGTGCAAATGGAATTCCAAAATTTTGCCACGACCTAAGGAACTGCTCTGAAGGTATTCTGAAGCCATATGATGCCTTTCACGCCTATCTATCGCACAAGGATAGTTTGCAAACCCTAAGTGTCACGCCACACTTAAAGCGTAAATTGTACCGAAAAAGCCAGTAGAAATAACAGTTGATGGAGAATTCTTTAGAAATGAGCGTTTTTTTCTTCTCAAAATCCTTATCCCAATGGAAGCAAAACTACACTCGATAAATATTTAAGGCTTGTCAACAAAAAACACGAATTAACAGTAATCTCTAACATGTGGCCTAACTGGTGCTTAATATGGGTGTGTGTACGTTTCAAGAAATCCATACAGTATGTTAGCTGGATCGAGCTAGAAAAAAAAACCACGTTGAACGAGCTCGGTTCACACATAAAGACAATGCTAGAAGTTATCCTTTCAAACAATAGCACAACCAGCAGAAATTTAAGATCAATGGTAGGGAAAAACATCGTTCCGAACAGGATTACTAACAATAACATTTAACTCACGATGCCCGCGTCCCAAATGCATCACTTATGATGTGATTGCCCATTTATATGTGTTATCGTCGAGCATATACAAACGCTGTAGACTGAAAGGCCCAGGATATGTACAAAGGAAAATGGAAAGAGCTCAAGTAGTAAGGAGAAATATTCCGTGTTCTACCAAAGCATTTGAAATAACGGAACATACGAAAATGCAAATCGACGCTAGTGGAGATTTAACCACAAATATCAAGGACTGGGAACAACTGGGAAAACCAAAGCTTTACTCAGCTAATACGGAACTCTTAGCGTAAATCGCCTGATAGATAGATACGTTGCCGATGTTCCAATGGTATCTTCAATTAAACGACAAGGTTCACAAATTAGATTATTACAATTTGAGGCTCTGATTGCTGGGAGGGAAACGCCTTGAATTGATGTTGTGCGTGGATTATAGTACGAAACTAAACGACATAGCCAAAATACCACTGCCCGCCTTCGACGCCTGGACACCTCATTTGACCGAAAGTAAGTATGTGTCACAGGATGACCTTAGCGAGGTTTACTTACAAGCCCAAGTTGAAGAAAGAAAGAAATAAAAAAATTCATATACATCAATTTAATGGACCTTTTATTCGAAATGAAGGTAATGTCGTCCATATTCCAACACACTAATCAAAGTCCTTGCCGAAGTACGTGCTTACCTTGATGACGTAATATTGATAGCCGGACCTTAAAAAAAACCTACAATTATATTCGCACGATTTTCTAGAAGAGATCAAATTTGGTTCATAGGTTCGTCTTAGAAGATGTGTATGTCTGAAGACTCAAATACGATATCTGGTATTGTCGGTCAACAGAACGGAGTCTGTGCCCGATTTAGAAAATCTGCAACGGATATAGCCTGCTTTTTGAAATATTTTTTACCTATGCTTTGTGATAGGGATGAACATCTCTCATAGCACCATTTCATTGTTTCGTAAGCTCATAGGTTCAGGATTGTCCTGAACGGTGGATAAACTATTGGCGAAGGATACCGCATCTGTTTAAAACGAACAATGCCAAAAAAGTTTGAGCAAACGAAAGAAATGTTCGTTCTACATTTTCTACTAAGGCACTATATCCAAAACTCTCAGACACATACGATTCAGCGCAGTCGTATTTTAAAAACAATCCAATGAAAGCGAAACATCTATCTCACATGCAGTTAAATGGCTCACGTCAATAGGAACTAAATATTTGTTTAAGCTGAGGGACAAGAACTTACGGCCGTCTTCTGTTGTAGGCAAGTTCCACTGCTGTATCTATGGGCGCCCGTTAACGCTGCTCACCGATCATCGCCCTCCGCTTTCTATATTTGGAAGCAAAGCTGAAGTCTCTGTGTTCTCGGCGCGTCATTTGCAATGGTAGTGACTCTACTAAATAGTGCCAAACGACAAAGTTTGGACAAGCCGACGCTGTTTCACGACTTAGCAACGCATGCACACGTAATAAAAACGAGAAAATGTCACAGTTGCCACAACTGAGAGACATTCGTGATTCTATTGAGATCATCGAACTAAGATACCGCTTACTTATTGGCGAAGGAACAACAACTGAGGCTTTTACTCTGCTTAAAGGTTTATCTGTACGGAAAAGATGGCGCCGACAGATCTCTAGAGGCGGCCCATTTTAGCCATTCCGGAATAGTAAAGGTTCACTAACGATTCCTAAAATCTGTCTAGTTACAGGTGATCGTGGAGCGGTTTCTCTGTGTTCAAGGTCACAGGACATGAAAGCTTGTTGTATCGCCTA